TGGATCCTTCATAATGGCAGTGAGAGCTTGAATCTTGTATCTTATTGACGATCCGAGCCTCTCTCAGCCTTCCCTTTGTTTAATACGAGGGACGAAGTTCTGCTTAGGGAGATTCACTGCCAGTTGGCCTCTCTCAGCCTTCTTCCTCTTGAGGAAGCGTTGGACTTGCTCCCCGTTCACCTTCAGATCTTTCCAGGTTTTGGACGATGATGTTCCCATGGCTTCTAGCACATCCAAAGAGAGGTTGGTGTGACAAGTTTGGAGGATGAACTCCTCCGTGACTGGGTCTCGACAATTCATTACCTTGTTTCAGAAGCGTTTAATGAAGTTATCGATCGTTTCTCCGTCTTTTTGCTTCTTGTCAAATAATGTGCTGATTAACACCTCAGTGTCATCATGGAAGAAGTTGATAAGAAACATACTCTCCATATCGTTCCAACTATTGATACTTCCTAGCTTGAGATGACGATACCAATCGAAGGCAGCTCCGCGAAGGATGCTAACGAATGACCAAACCATTAAGGGTTCATTACCAGAGATCACACCTAGGTGGGACTTGAACTAGATTAAGTGCTGAGTGGGGGAGCCTCTCCCGTGAAATGGCGTGAAGTTGATTAGATTAAACTTCACCGGATATGGGATCAACTCTCACTCTCTTGGATAGGGATACGGAACACCGGTCTTCTTTACCTCTTGAGTAGACATCAATGCATTGATCTTGCTCTCCAGGTCTTTTATTTTCTCGTACTCACCTGTATTTTTCTTTAGATGATTTCGGGGATGAACAACTGGACCACCCCCAGCATTGTTATCCTCAGTAGGACAACCCCCAGCATTTTGGTCAACAGGAGGGGTATTAGCGTTGGGATTTTCATCCACGTCTGAATCTCTACCTCCTTGATTAGTAGCATTGCGACGGCTAGATTCACCAATCTAGTTTGATAAGGCTTGAATCTGTTGGTCGTGTACTTCCCTCATTGCTACATGGTCAACTCCATCTCAGCTTTGAATTCTTCTTTCTGCTTTGCCAAAGCTTCTTGAAGTAACTGAGCCATTTGCTCAGCGTTGATCATGAACGCTTCACGTGATCACCCCGTGCTAGACACCGTATTGTCAAAAGTAATTGCAGAGTTGGAATCTGATACTTTATCATCTGAGGAGTGTCTAGGTCTGATAGTACCCGACCATAACCAAGTGAGACGCTGGGATGCCCCTAGAAAGGGATCGGGACTGGAACGTCATATTGACTTTCCCTTATCAGCCATGTTGATGGTAATTTCTGGGAGTCTGTCATCCTGACCGACTGATCTTCTTTTGCGAAAGTGTCTTGATTTAGATTTGGGCGCTTCAGTGGAGATCCTTTTGAATACTGAGACCCTCCGTGAAGCAGTCCTGCAACAGCTACATACTGATAATACTGCCCCAATTAACTTTTTACACGAACAATGAGAGTCCAATTCCGGGATACTTCGCTTTTGAGATTTCATCATACCCATAGCCTGATAGTGCAACTCATTGGCATTGTAGCCGGAGCAACCTAAAAGTTGTTGACTTGATTCCCCAGGTATGACATTGTCATGTAACGGACACGTCTCCTTTCGGGGATGTAATGCCTTATTGGCATTCTTAGGAGTCACACATTTAGACCCACCCCCTTGCGAGTATAGAATATCAACGGGCTCCTAAACCTAGACAAGCAACCCCAAGCGGGCGGTTATGGGTGTTTTCCCGATATGGGATGGCTTTAACTTGTTGGGAGGACACGTATGACCCCCATCCTGAAGAGTCGCTTGGAATTTGTTTACCGGACCCAAGCGTTATTTAACTGGAGCATTCCCCCTAATCCTCGTGCAAAGGACCAAGGTGATACACCATCTTCATTTTGAATTTGGACAGGTCCACGCTATCATGAGGCTTCACCAGAGGTACATGATCAGATGGAGCTGGATTGAAGGCTGTTGGAGGCTGAGAAACACGTGCGGAGCTAGGACCAAGTGCTAAACACACTTGGTGTTTTGCAACAGGTAGAGGTGTTTCGGCTATTTTCGATGCTGTTTTCGGCGTTGTTTTGGCCTTCGGCACCCAGACTTGTTTAGATTTCAGCGATTCTTTAGCCACCTCTTCTTTCTGTAGCTCTTGTACCTTCTGCACGAGAATTCGTGCATGAGCGAGAAGTGTGCGACGCTTCTGGATGCGCTCCTTGAGAGTCAGATGGGTTTGTTCAACACGAACCCACTTGTTGGTTGATGGTTTGGAGGAGGGATCAGTTGCTTGTTGTGGCTGCGGCTTAATTGCTTGGCGCCTCCTGAATTCTAAGTCCGCTTAATAGCGGAGTCCATCCACCTGCCCCAGAGTTTTAGCAAACTGACGGGCAAGATGTTGGTGCTGCTTCTGATGATCCATCTTCGTCAAAATTGGCTCAGCTTCAACGGCCAACTCCTTGATTGATGAGGAGTTGTTCTCAGCATTAGATCCGACTTGCTTAGGTACCAGAGAGGTGATAGGGTGAGAATCAGCGCTCTGTGTCTTCAGATCCAAAGACTAACAGACCTTCTTCAACAAAGAGGTCTTCCTGCGCTTGCATGGAGAGGAGGATCCAGAGGAGGAGGATGAGACATACTCCTCAACTTCTGCTGGTCGAACTCATATTCGAACTCTGCTTCAATCAGGATCTTGATCTTTGGTTGCGACACTCCGGTCTCGGCAACGAGACCATCGGCTCCCACTGTGGTTGCCAGTGTGTTTACATCGGAAATTGATTTCATTGCTGAATCCATTATAATCGTTTATTGACTTTTACAGATTTAAAAAGATGAGTCTTTTTATAAGACTTCTTTACATAAAAGAAACAGATCAACAATTCTCTAGAAACACACGCAGAGGATGTTTATCACATGCTGCTTGTATGGAGTCTTTGCCTGTGCCAGGGTTTATCTGTGGACCACCGCGGATCAGATTTGGTTGATTTCGTTGTCCCACAAAAGAAATAAGAAATTGAAGTGAATGACTCAACAAGGTGAGGCAAACACTCTTCTTGATATCAAATCAAAGCTTGATCTCAAGGGAAGTAGGTAACAGGTGCTGAAGGGGCTATAGATCTGCCGAACTCCTCCTCTTTATGCTGAAGAACTTAAAGATCTCTCTTCCTCCTCTCTGAAATTCGTGCTCCTTTGTTGCTCAAAATGACAGAGCTTCGCCTCTAGCTCGAAATTCCCGATTACCCGTGCATAAGGGCCCTAAGGTTGTATTTATAGGCTTCCGGATGCCCTGTTTTCAGATAAGAACCCAAGATTTGACCCTTATCTTCGATTTAACAACTCTCCCACATTTAAGAATAGTCTCAAGATAGTTGGGGAGGTTCCAGAACCGTCGAAACAGATCAAAAACCACTGAAACGCGTTCCGAGAGTCCTGACAGGTGTGAAACACCAATGGTGTTTCACATCAGGTGCAAAACACCAAGGGTGTTTCGCACTACAGGTGCAAAACACCAAGGGTGTTTCGCACTACAGGTGCAAAACACATGGTCGCTTGTCCGTCGTTTCACCATTTCGCATGTTCCGTTGACTTGTACGCTTTTCCTACTCGCTTCATGTATTTGTTTGGTTCTTTACGGCATCGGACAATCCTATTTGACTCGGATAATGGCATTCATCACCTTCTCTTAATCTCGAGCTGTGTGCGAAAACCTATAGATAATTTTTAACGTCTACAGATACCCCCTCCAAAGGGTTTCAGTCTTATTCTTTCATGGAGGAACCTAGAATACTTTGGATATGATACACCCAGCCTTTAATTCATTAACTTCTTTAGCTTTCAGTTTATTTAGTATTTTGTCGAATAGCTAAAATTCTTCCGGTGCTGCGTTTATCGTCTGACCGTTGTCGAAATCTTAAACTAAAGTTGGTGTGTTAATTTCTAAATTTAGCTCGTGTCATTGGATCAACGTTGAACTGATCATCTTCGTCGAGAATTCGTATCTGAATCACAATTGAACTCCTGGGAATTATCCTTTGACCTGGAATTTCATCCTAAGCCTTATTTCAGCGAAAATCATCAACGTGTTGACCGGTGTAGATCTTCATTACAACGTGTTGATCGGTGTTGACTCTCATTTGCAATGTGTTGACTAGTATTAACCGTCGTTGACCCTCATTTGCAACTCATTGACCGTCGTTGACCCTCATTTGCAACGCGTTGGCCGTCGTTGACTCTCATTTGCAACGCGTTAACCGGTGTTGACTTTTTGTTTGTAATGCGTTGACCGGTGTTGACTCTCATCTGTAATGTGTTGACTGGTGTTGACTTTTATTTACGATGTATGGACCGGTGTTGACTCTCATTTGTAACGTGTTGACCGACGTTGACTCTTCATTTGTAATGCGTTGACTCTCATTTGCAACGTGTTGACTGGCATTGACTCTTCGTTTGTAACGCGTTGATCGGCATTGACTCTCATTTGCAATACGTTGACCAGCGTTAACTTGTGTGAACACAGTTTATACTCATACGTTGACTGGAATCTACACAGTTTAAGCTCTTAAGGCGTTGGAGTGCGGAGAATCAGTTTATACTCGTATACTCCTTGGAGTTTCGGGAATCAGTTTAACCTTGTGTACCCGTTGGAGGTTCAAGGAGATACAATTTATACTAATATACTCATTGAAGTGAATACGGGCTTCAAATACACTAAAACCGTCAAAAATAGCTGATAATAGGTACAAACAGCACTACAAAAAAACCGGGACACACCCCTTCAGGCGCGAAACACGTGTGGTGTTTCGCATATGTGCGAAACACGTGTGGTGTTTCACATATGTGCGAAACACCACTAGTGTTTTGCTCAAGCGAAACACAAGTTGTGTTTCGCATGGGGGTGAGTGAGGGGAGAGAGAATGTGAAGGGAAGAGAGAGAGTGTCTGGTTCTAAGGAAAGAAAGAGAGAGAGAGAGAGAGAGAGAGAGAGAGAGAGAGAGAGAGAGAGAGAGAGAGAGAGGGTGTACTGAATGTTATTGTATAGAGCCACTTCATCAGTTGAAGGCTTTGCAATGCACCAAGTTTTCTGTAATTATATCAACAACGTGACATGAAAGATTAATTCAGTGTACATATTTCAAAAATCATGTTTTGGTTAAGGGGTTTTTACATACCTGGCAATTATTCTGCTCAACATTTCCTGCGACAAAAAATTAAATAAAGAAAGAATAGTATTAGCTAATTTTATAGTAGGAGAAACAAAGCAAGGTTAGTAAATACTCACCGTGACCGAGAGAGAGGAGAACAAGTAGGTAAAGAAAGACGAGAGAAAGAGATGACGAGGTCATTGCTTTTAACTGAAGGGGAGGAGGGAGAGAGAGAGGAGAAGGAGAGAGAGAGAGAGAGAGAGAGAGAGGGTCTTTTGTTCAAGGGTTTTTCAAAACCCTCCGCCCAAAACCGTTTTCATCTCCCTCCCCTCTTCTTCTTCCTTCTTCTTTTTTCGAACTCTCTTCTTTCTCAAACTCCTCCAAACCCATACTTTCTCCTCTTTAAGAGTTCTAAACCCACTCATATTAACCCCATTAAATCCCTTAAAACCCTCAAAACATTCGACCAAGGTCTCCTCTTTCAAGATCTAGGGCAAGCTCTTTGAGTTGGGTTCTTGGCATTAGGTTGAAGTTTCTTGAGTTCAAGCCTCTTCTTGGGTAAGCTTTTATCCATAGCTTTGATTTTGTATGTTTGATTTGATTCAAAAGATCATGCGTTTGGATGTAAAGATTGTAACTTTGATATAAATTTTGAAGGAAAGATTGAAACTTTGATATGAGTTTGTGTTCATGACCGAATTTTGAATGGGTTTGATGATGAGTTTGGCCAAAATTTTCGAACTTGGGTTCCCATGGCTGAAACTTGATATGAGGGGGTTGGGTATGATGACCAAGTCATGAACTTGGGTTTGATGTTGTTTCCATCCTTCATTGTGGCCAAGCTTGAACTTGACTTCATGGCCGAAATTTTGATGAGCTTGGGTTGTATGCATGGTCAAAATTTTGTGAATGGGGGGATGATGATGTGACCGGAATTTTGAACTTGGGTTTATGGATATTTTGTTCAAAGTTTGAGTTTGAGGATGATGGGTATAATGACCAAACTATAAACTTGAGGATGATGGATTCCCCCCTTCAACCATGGTCGAAGTTTTGAACTTGGGTGAGAGGTATTTTGTGTAAAATTGATCAAAAATTGAACTTGAGGGGTTTTGGATGAAAAATTAAACCGATCATTTGTATGTATGAATCCCGTAGGTTTAATTAGACTCCAACCATAAAATCCCATTTTGTTTGTAGGATTTCGGCTAAAGTTCATAATTTCCTTTTTAATTTTGGGTTTCTGAATTGGAAATTGTACCTGAACCGTTAATTTTTAATGCAAGTTAGCAATGTCTCCGAGGTGGCCACGTTTTCACAGGAGTCAATCGGCCACTCAGCATATTAAGAGAATGGCTCTCGCAGCTTCTTCATATGGGGGTGAGCCTTTATAGCTCTTGTGAACTCAAATTAATATTTTGAATATTGCACCCTTGTTTGTCTCCTTTGCGAGGCATTCGAGAAGAGCAAAAATCCTCCTTTATAGGGATTAGCGCTTAAAAGACGTGTTTTGTTTCATCAAAACACGTTCTAAGGCAAATGAGGTGATTTCATGTTGTATTGCACTCTGTCGGGCGAGGAATATTATCATGTTATCTACGCGATAATGTACATTCTTCCTTACGTGTGAAACAGCTGAAACCATCTCGCCAATTTATAAGGTAATGACTCTATCTCGCGAATTTGCGAGATGAGTTCTACTTCTTGTATTTCCTTAGAAATATTTTTCTGACTGTGTTTTATTTGTTTAAGTTGAATTCCCCTCGGATGTGTTCTCGTCTCACGCGGAAAGTGGTGGTAGCAGCGAGACTTTTACTACTGTTGACAATGCACCACTCGTCGCCATTGCTCCTCAATTCGATCCGGATAGGCCCGAGGAAGTTCCTTGGCTTGTACGAGATGGGGATCGTCATGCACTACGACGACTAATTACTGACACCCTCACTTACTAAGGATCCCAACTCTACTCAAGCCCTGAAGAAGCCGGACTACTTGTTTGGTGATCATGTTGAAGACCCGTATATGCTAACCCTTGAGGATGAGCATTAGTTGAACGAGGATGGTAGGAGTTTGCTATATATTCCCCTATTCCGCGTTAATATACCCTTGCACGTTTGAGGATGCAAGCTGTAACTCGGGTGATGCCTTGGCATTTCACGGATGATCATGAGTGAGTCCATTGTGGGTTCATTACTTATCATCAGACCCCGGGTTCTGGTGGGCGAGACTTTATTTGTGGTCTCTAACCAGGCATTCTGGGACTTGATATAGCACCGCCAGATGAGCTATTGATAGTCGCCAACACGGTGAGGAATCGGCTTGCCAGACTTGGGAGGGAACTCCCTGTGACAAGATATAGGTGTTATGGATGGGTACACTCACCGGGGAAGAAGTGGTGGACCCATATGACGAGTTATGTTCTTGGACGCTGGGGTAATGAGTTGAAGAATAGCGGATTATATACACTGATACGCACCAGTATGTATAGATTGTTGATCAGCAAACACCATTTCTTGGCATTGTTGGAGCTTTATAATCCTAACACCAACACTTTTCTAACTCACAATGGAGAGTTAGGGTTGGCTCTTCATGAGACGTAGAAGGTTTCTGGACTTCCTATAGGCGATCATCAATATCAGGAGTATTTTCCCCCCAACCGGCAGCTGAGGTAATTGGAGAAAACCTCTCCTAATATTCATGACACGTTGTAGGATCTTACGTGTCATTATTATACGCTTTAGCTAGCATAGGTGTTCTGGTGAAGAAGACATCACCACAGCTAAGCCTGAAACAATTCACCGACTACCTATTCTAGCGCCTAGAGGATAGTTCTAGTGAAGCAATTTTTGAGTTAACTCATCTAACTCCCTCAGAGATCAATAACTTGATTGAGAAGATAGGTGCTCAATCATACACTACTTCTGCCGTCGAGGGCAAGTTTTCAGCGAGGACCAAGTTCCAGACATTCTTGTGGCATGCCCAGAAATGGATTCGGCCCATGACTCTTCTTGCAGGATATATTACCATTTGGCTAAAGAAGTGCGACGTACCTTATCAGTTCTCCACCGTCTTATAGATTGAGGTTCTCTTCATGTCGTCCAGCTTGCTTATGGGAAGGACATTTCCTTACTTCCGGTGATGGTCGTCGATATACACAGCGGGCTTCAATACTTAGTTTCTGGCTTCACACAGGTGGAGCGTAAGCCATCGACGGAGATCCCACCTGTCAAGGTCGAGCTCCTGTATACTTATCTGATAGCGTGGCTTGTTCTCCATTGTCCCGACCTAATGTCAGCACTAAGCATCGCAGATCCTTCCATTCCTCTCTTGTAATCATTAGAAGAGAGCAGGTGGGTAGCGAGAAGTTTCCTTGAGGCAAGGCAAAAGCTTCACATCCACAAATGCTGGGAATTCTTCAAATGCTTCCCTCGTTTCTTTGACTATTATAATGATTTGCTTATTGATGAAGAGAGGCCAAGGACAGGGCATACTATCCTTGATATTGGTTGCTTCCGGGGCATACTCATCCTTCATGTGAAGGAGCGCTATCACATAGAGCCTTACCTGCCATGTCGATTCGCTCGTCAGTTTGGTTACGACCAACTATACGTTGGGAATCCAAGTCGAGAGCTGAGGACTGAGGGCGGTCTTATCAATGGTATCCAAGCGTGGCTTTGGAGCGTGACTGGTTGCACGGTCGCTACTTTCGCCCTCCCTACGACAGGACGTAAGACACAACTTACTTTTTTCTGCTACAAGTGGCTCATTGTTGCGAATGAGCCTGTGAGGTTGAAGCACATTACAGAGTTGGAGGCTGAAGAAGAGGTTAGGGCCGCCACTAAGACCATCCGTGACATTGAGCTTCCGGGGAAGTGGGGAAAGAAGTCTGCCAGACCCTTTGGCAAAGGCAAACAGATGGTAGAGGATGAGGAGGAGCTCCTTCCCACTTATGACGAAGAGGATACCTCAGAAGAAGACATTGATGATGGTGGAGATATTGAGATTGAGGGTGGTGAGGAGGTTGTCGAGCCAGGTCTGTCTGACTCCTTCTTTTCCTCGAAATCACTTACGAACCTGGTGATCATTTGCCAGGTTTGTCCATTTGCTTTGTTTAAGCCTCAGAAAACTTCAAAGAAGTCGAGGCAGGATGTTTTATTTACTATCCTAACAAAATGACAAATGTCCTTCCAGGTGAAGCGGTTGAAGAAGAAGAGCCTCGTCCCTTCCTTCGTACGAGATCTCGATCCGCTGCCGAGGCTTCTTCACGGGTTGATTAGCATGTCAAGTTTGGATAGGAGAGACATGTTATTCACAATGAGGCTCGATATCTAAAGTGGAAGAAACAATGCACAAGTCACATATCGATCCGCGCACTTTTGAGGCGGAGTCATTCGGCAACACACCTACCAGCGGAGAAGGTAACGTCTCGCCTTTGCGTATCCTTTGATCATTTTACTTATGAATTCTTCAGATCTAATCACATTTGTGTTCTCAGGGTGTCACGAAGGAGGTGTATTCACATATGACCCTCTCTTTCTTGACTTTGCTCATTTCAAAGGCCAGAGCTTCGTGCAACAGATGCATGAGGCTATTGGTGAGGAGCCCGTGCATGCTAGGGCTGGTGAGGGTGCTGGTGTTGGTGAGCTTGATCCAGCTACGAGGATCTCCAGCCCAGGTATATCTAATATCGATAATACACCATTCAAATGGCAATTACGGGAGTTGAACAATTCCTAATCCATGGATCCGCTAATTGTTTCTATGCTTCATGCTCTTGTCGAGACTGGGGAAGTTGCTGCAGCTACAGGGGGTGAATCCGATCTCTACTCATTCTGAATTTCAGCTTTCCTTCCTTCTGCCTAACCTCTATCTTCCATAAATATGATTATGGAGGGTTTAGCTGAGGATGAAACCCTTCATGATACTAACATCGAGGAGTTGGGTGGGCACACATTTGATCCGACTCCGAGCTCCTCCAAGCCTGACGATATGTTGCTTGACAATATGTTATCGGAGCAAGCTCATCACGAAGCTGTAGGACCATGCATGGAGGCTGGTTCATCTATAGGTAGGGATTTTTATTGTAACTTTGTCGCAATTCGTTTGTCAGTCCTTACTTAACCACAAGGGAGTTTCGATTGTAGGACCAGCCAGCAGAGCTGATGCAGCTACAATCATCGGTGCTTCTAATCAGCCTGAGGATCTTGGCTTCCCACCATT